TCTATTCTATTCTATTCTATTCTATTCTATTCTATTCTATTCTATTCCATTCCATTCCATTCCATTCCATTCCATTCCATTCCATTCCATTCCATCCTATCCCATCCCATCCCATTCCATTAATCCTTCTATTCTATTCTATTCTATTCTGTTCTGTTCTGTTCTGTTCTGTTCTGTTCTGTTCCGTTCCGTTCCGTTCCGTTCCGTTCCATTCCATTCCATTCCATTCCATTCCAATTTGTCTTTTGAAACAGTGCTCTCCCTCTTAGTGATGAAACCCTAAATTCAAATCCTGCAGCCAACCACTGGAGGGCATTAGAGACTTATGTAACAGGACTGATTTCCTCTTGTAGGTGAGGCACAGGGAAAGTGAATTAAATTGGAGCTCCTTTATGTATCCATCTGCTAACCAGTAGCATTGAATAAGCCTTCCCACTGTTTTATTATTCTTTTGGCATTTCCATTTTTACTTCTGTTTCATGATTGTAAGACGCGGACAAAAATACATTGCTTTAATTACTGCTGTTGTATTTTGAAGCTAGTAATATTAAAAGCCCTTCACCTACTTTATCTCAATAATTCCTTAGGATAACAATCTGCATGGAAGGCTGGTAGGGCTGCCATATTAAAAAAAAAATGGCTTAGAGAGGTTGATAATCCCTACAGGTAGTCCTTGACTTAAAACCGTTCATTTAGTGACCGTTCAAAACTACAACGAAACTGAAAAAAGTGACTTGTGACTTTTTCATGCTTACAGCCGTTTGCATGGTCACACGATCAAAATTTGGATGCTGGGCAACTGATTCATATTTATGACAGTTGCAGTGTCCTGGGGTCGTGCGATCCACTTTTGTGACTTTTTGACAAGCAAAGTCAATGGGGAAGCCAGATTCACTTAACAGCCATGTTCCTAACTCAACAACTGCAGTGATTCACACAACAACTGTGGCAAGAAAGGTTGTAAAATGGGGCAAAACTCATTTAAATGACTCGCTTAGCGACATAACTTTTGGGCTCCATTGTGGTTGTAAGATGTTGACACTCTAGAAAAAGTGCAGAGAAGAGCAACCAGGATGATTAGGGGACTGGAGGCTAAAACATATGAAGAACAGTTACAGGAATTGGGCTTGGCTAGTTGAATGAAGAGAAGGACCAGGGGAGACATGATAGCATCTTCCAATATTTGAGGGGCTGCCACAGGGAGGAGGGAAGGGGTCACGCTATTTTCCAAAGCACCTGAAGATCAGACAAGGAATAATAGATGGAAACTGAACAAGGAGAGGTTTAACCTAGAAATAAGGAGAAACTTTCTGACAGTGAGAACAACCAACCCATGGAACAGAAGTTGCCCTCGGAAGTTGTGGGAGCACCATCACTTGAGACCTTCAAGAAGAGATTGGACTGCCACCTGTCAGAAATGGTGTAGAGTCTCCTGCTTGGGCTAGACCTACAAGGTCCCTTCCAACTCTGATTATCTGTTAACTATCGGTATTAGATTATGTTCAATATTGTTTTTGTCAATGTAATTATGTAGATGTGTTCTATCAATAAGTGCTTTATTTAAATGGTTTTATGTATTATCTGTTATCCTGTTTCATTAGTATGCTTACTTAGGGATTTATTTAATGATTATACAGTATAAAGTATGTATTTGAGAATAAATACAGAATTTTGCCCAGTTCTTCCAGGGCTGATATTATTGGCCATAATTTCCAATTTCAAGTTCTTAATCTCCTATGTTGACTTCCCCCCATTCTGGTCATCTCCAGAGGTCAAAACTATCAGAGCTATTATCTTCAGTCAGCACATCTATATAGTCATAATGACTAGCATTGAACGTCATGCTAAACCATAATAATGTAATTTGTTTGGGCTGCTTTTCAAATGTGCAAATCATTCAATGTGGGCTGTAATGTGGCTTCTGGCTTTGGACAATAGAGGAGCCCACCAGCTGAACTGGCAGTCAACTCCATGATGAATCATGATTTTTCAAATATGTAAAATGGTCTCCCTGCAAAGCCAAGCTTCTAAACATAATTGACAAATCACAGCGAATG